TCAATGCCCCCAGAACTCGCCGAATTAATTCCGGGTGTATCAGTTCTTTTCCCTGCGAGTTAACAAATCCTCTTTCCTCCCATATTTTCCCAAAAGTGTGTACTACCCCAAACGCATAGCGTGAGTCTGTATATATAGTTCCATCCTTTCCCTTCAGTGATACTAATGCTTTCCACAATGCATACAGCTCACAGGCTTGAGCAGACCAGCTGGCACTCAGGGGGCCTGATTCTATTGTCTTAAATTCTCCTTTTTCCAACTTAATGATGGCATATCCAGACAATCGTTTACCTTCTACTATTCGTGATGATCCGTCTATAAATAATACTTCCCCACATTGTAGTTCTTCTTCTTCTAGATCTGGCCTAATACGTGTCTGCTGTTCAATTGTTTGGAAACAATTGTGCAATAGTTCATTACCTTCTCCTGGGTACAAAAATTCAGCGGGATTAACTGCTCCAATAGTTTTCAAAGTTAATTTAGGGGATTCTATAAGTATTCCTTCATATTTCAATAATCGACTATCTGTAAGCCATTTTTCTGCTTTTTGTTGTAACACTCCTCTTATATTATGAGGCGCATATAGGACAATTTCCCCATTAAAGGTAATACGGTTTGTTTCTTCAAGTAATAAGGCAGCGGCAACTATGATCTGTAAACAACTTGGCCAACCCCTGCTCACAGGGTCTAACAGCTTTGATAGGTATGCTACCGGTTTCTTTTGTCCGGCCCATTCCTGAGTTAATACTCCGAATGCTGTTCCTTCATGTATGTTGACAAATAAATGGAATGGCCGCTTTAAATCTGGCAGACTTAAAACCGGTGCTTGACTTAGCTCCCTTTTGAGACTGGCAAACTGCTCTTGATCCTGAGGGGTCCACTTGGGTATTTTGTTTTTAGACAATTGTTCATATAGGAATTTAGCCTTAAAACTGTAGTTCTCTATCCATTGTCTACAATATCCAAATAGCCCTAATGCCTGCCGAATTTGCCTCTTAGTGACAGGCATAGGTAGTTCCAGAATTCCTTTAATGCGCTCTGGATCCAATATCTTTTTGCCGTTAAACAAATAATGCCCCAAATATTTCACTTTTTCCTCCACAAATTGTAACTTTTCTTGTGATACCCTTAGTCCCTTTTGTGCAAGGAAGTTTAGGAGTCGAATGCTTTCTTTTCTTACATTCTCCTGATTATTCCCTGCTATGAGCAGATCTGTCTACATATTGTAAAAGCACATTTCCCATTTGTACCTGGTATTCCTTCAATAGCTCTTCCAGGGCCTGGCCAAACAAATTAGGGGACTCAGTGAACCCTTGGGGGAGCACGGTCCATCTCAATTGCTGTCTACGGCCTGTTTCTATATCTTCCCATTCAAAGGCAAAATAATCACGGCATTCTTCTGCCAGTGGACAGGCCCAAAAGGCATCCTTTAAATCAACCACGCTATACCAGGAATTATGGGGTCCTAGTTTGCTTAGCAGTGTGTATGGATTTGCCACTACAGGGAACCGGGTGATAGTTCTTTTGTTTATTTCCCTTAAATCATGCACGAGCCGATATTTCCCATTCGGTTTCTTTACAGGCAGAATGGGGGTGTTAAAGGGTGACATACAAGGCTCTAAGATTCCTCGTGCTAATAATCGATCAATTTCTGGTTTCAATCCTCTCCGTCCTTCTAGGGATATGGGATATTGCTTTATCCTCACAGGTATGTGGGGTTCAGAAATTTGGATTTTAATCGGTGGGATTTCCAGTCTACTAATTGTGTCCGGAGAATACCAGACATTGGGGTCAATTTGTTTTTGATCATCCATGGTCAAAGGATAAGCAAACACTGTTAGTTCTTGATTTTTCACTTTAATTTCTAATTGCAATTCAACAATTAAATCTCGCCCTAGCAGATTAAATTCTGCTTCAGGGACGAGCAAGAGTTCACCCATTCCAAATTTATTTTCAGTTTCGAATATTACATTTTTGATTTTGCTTACTTTAAAGGGTTCTCCTTTTGCCCCAATTACTTGTACTTTTTCAGGGGAGATTTTACATCCCTCGGGTATTTGTCTAATAGTCGATTTTTCAGCCCCAGTATCTACTAAAAAGGTGAACTCTTGTTTATGGGGACCTATTTTTAATTTTATCAAGGGCTCACGATGACTCCGGTCCCCTAAAATATAGAGCCCCTGACTTCCCTATTCCGTTTTTAATATTTCCTCATCCCTGATCCTTTCTCTGCAACTCCTCTTTATATGTCCCTTCTTTCCACAGTAGAAACAAAATCTCTGTTCCTTCTTTACTACTACGTTCCCCTGTTTCGTTTCAGCAGATCTGTGTTCATTTGTCCGCCCTTTACGATCTTCTCTGACCGCTGCTACCATCATTTTTATTTGTCGCTTGCTGCTCTCTTCTTCTCTCCTTACATATACTTTCTGAGCTTCCCTCAATAATTCATCTAACCCTCTATTCTGCCAGCCTTCTAACTTTTCAATCTTCTGATATCCTCCCACGATTTTGCCACAAACTGAGTTTTGAGGAGCGCTTGCCCTAAAGGGTCGTCTGGATTTACCCCGGAGTACAGCTGAAGGGCTTTCCTCAGTCGTTCCAGCCACTCAGTAGGGCTTTCATCTTTCTTTTGCATTTCATTAAATGCTTTATTGATATTCTGGCCACGGGGTACTGCTTCTCTAATCCCTTGAATTACTATAGTTCTTAGGTCCTGCATATGAGTTCTATGCACCGGATCCTGATTATCCCAATTAGGTCTTTGGAGTGGCCATTTAATATCTGCTTGAGGTCCCTGAGCATGTTGAGCATCCCACAATCTCATTCCTGCTCGTCTAATCATGTCTCTTTCCTCGGTAGTAAATAATTGACCAAGGATAGATTGCATTTCATCCCAAGTATAAAGGTTTGGTCCCAAAAATTGATCTAATCTTTCCGCCACTCCGAGTGGGTCCTCAATTAGGTTTCCCATCTCGGTTCTTTTAAAATCTCGTAGGTCTGCCGAGCTTAGGGGTACAGAAATATATCCAATCACAGGTTGAGGTCCCCCCATGGGCATTTCCCTTAAAGGATACATCTGAGCTGCCCCTTTTTGACTTCTAGTCACGCGTCTAGGAGGAGGGGGAGACCCTTGTTCTGATTCTGGTGGGGGAGTGGGAGCTCTGGGGACCTCTGGAGGGGCTGGGGCTGCGGGAGCAGGCGGGGGAGCGTAAGGAGGGGGAGTTAGAAGAGTTTCATCTAACTCTTCCTTCTTTTTCTTTTGTTTAGTTTTTATTTCATTCAGCGGGTAAAGTCTAGCTCTCAGTTTCTCGAGCCACTACTTCCGCATATTGACTCTCTTCTGGATTAAGGGATTTTTTACTATTAACCCAGAGGTTTAATTGCTGTCTTACCCAATCTTCTTCTGACCCATAGACTGGCCAAAAGACATGTTTAGAAATCTTCTTCCCTCCCCATATCTTAGTACAATATTCTATCATCTTCTGCTTATCTTTCCCTAGGGTTCCAGGGAAGTCTTTCCAATTGTCTAAGATGCATGCCAGAGGGGTATTCTTAGGTACAGTGGGTACCCTTCCCATGGGAGTCGAAGGCTTGCTGCCCTTCGCCCCCATCTTCTGAATTATCTCCAAACACACACTCACTCGCTCCCCTTGTTCCTGGCCCCGTCCCTCGCGGGAAATGGGAAACGCAGTACTTAAGGGTCCGCACTCGCTTGGTTCAGTATATCGAACCTCTCATTCGTTATAATCCAGGAAACCCAATCCCGCCCGAACGGTAAACCCGCGAATAAATCCGCAATATACTTACGCGTCCTGCGTCTTCGTCCGGACTCCTGTGCACAGAATTTTTATGGGATTTTACCGGTTTTTCCTTTGCTCATTATTCTAGAATTTAGGTTCGTCAGTAAGGATGGGGTGGGCTATCAGTCGCGGGGCCGCGGATTGCCGCGGGGCGCCTCCCCGGAGGACAGATATCCACCGTTCCTTATCCGAGTCACGGCACCAAAATTGTTATAAATTGAGACTACAATGGGTCGTAATCCAATTGAAATTTTATTAATTATAGCAAGTAGAATATGAGCAAAAACAGCGCTGGACGACAGGGGAGTCTGTGCTCCACCAACTGCCGTACTGAGTAGAACAGACTGTCCCTTTTTATACATTTTGTCTCCCGCGTTCATGGAGTGGTGAAGGATACTATGTTTCAACTGTTGCTGGGGTCTAGAGTGGTGGAGATACTCTGCGCATGTGCCAACTGTTGTTAGGGGGTCGTTTTCTGCCTTCTGGTGGTCGATGATATCCTTATATGGAGTTGTTTTTCTTCTGTTTGTTTTCTTGGAATATCTTGTGATCTGCAGCGTCGGCCATGTGTGCACAAGCAACACATGATTCCATGAACGATCTCCCCTTCTCTTGTTACCTTTAAGTCTTAATAAACAATATACTTAGCTCATAGTTTCTCACAATTATGTATTCACTATCCCCATCCCTAATAAACATTTCACACAGCGGTGAGCAGGTCTAGCATGGCTGAGGGTGGTGGGACAGGGAGTCCCCAGCCTGACTCTTCAACCCCCCCCCTAGTTTGTGAGACCCCCAGCCCAGAAAGACTCTGACAGTGTCTGGGGGTAACTGGGTCCCTGCTCCTTCGTGATGGGCTGCAGGGCTGTGAGGGGAGAGGAGCCGTGAGGGGAGAGGAGCCGTGAGGGGAGCGGGGTGTGAGGGGAGAGGAGCCCCGTGGGATGAGGGTCTGTGGGGACCCGTCCCCGACTCCGGGGGGTGCCGCTGTGGGGCAGGGGGAGGCCCCCGTCCCCAGCGCAGCCGTGCCGGCGGGGGGTCTCCCGGCCGCGCTGTTGGGCTGCGGGGCCGCCGCTCCCCCGCCCCCGGGCCGCGGGCCGGGCCGGTTCCCCGGGTAACGGCGGCCGGGCGACGTCAGCGGCTGGCGGGGCCGGCGGCCCGGGGCGGGCGGGGAGCGCGGCGGGCGGGCAGCGCCTCTGCGGCCGCGGCGCCGGCCGGGGCATGAGGCTGCGCATGGAGCCGGAGGCGGCCGTGCCGGGAAACCTCTCCCGCGGCGGCGGCGGCGGCAACGAGAGCGGCGGGGCGGCGGCGGCGGCGGCGGCGGCGGCGGCGGTGGGGTGGTCGGCGGCGGCGCTGGCCTCTCAGGCGCTGGCGCTGCTGCTCATCTTCGCCCTCTCGGCGCTGGGCAACGGGGCGGTGGTGCTGGTGATCGCCCGGCACCGGCAGCTCCGCACGGTCACCAACGCCTTCGTGCTGTCCCTGTCGCTGTCGGAGCTGCTGGGCGCCCTACTCTGCCTGCCCTTGGCCTTCCTCAGCCTGCTCAGCCGCCCGCCCGGCGCCTGGCTCTTCGGGCAGCGCCTGTGCCTGGCCAGCGCCGCCCTCCACGCCGGGCTGGGCATCGCCGCCACCCTCACCATGGCCCTGCTTTCCTTCGACCGCTACTGCGCCATCGTCCGCCAGCCCCGACACAAGATGGGCCGCCGCCGCGCCGCCCAGCTCCTGGCTGCCGTCTGGCTGGCCGCCCTGGCCCTGGCCGGGCCTTGGTATGGGCTGGCGGGCGAGGGGCAGCGGGAAGCCCGGCCCGGGGCTTACCGCTGCGTCTACGTGCTGCCCTGGGGCTCGTCCCGGCTGGGGCCTCCCTACGGCGCGGCCCTCATCGTGCTCTGCTACCTCCTGCCCTTCGCCCTCATGTGCTTCTGCCATTACAACATCTGCCGGGCGGTGCGGCTGGCCGAGAGCCGCGTGCGGCCCCTCACCACCTACGGGCACCTGCTGCGGGCCTACGGCGAGATGCGCACGGCCACCACCGTCCTCATCATGATCGTCTCCATCATCTGCTGCTGGGGGCCCTACTGCATCCTGGGGCTGGCCGCCGCGGCTGGCCGCCTGCCCTTCTCGCCCACCATGGATGCTGTGGCCAGCGGGATGGCGTGGGCCAACGGCGCCATCAACCCCCTCATCTACGCCGCCCGCAACCCCAACATCTCCGTGCTGCTGCGGCGGAGCCGTGAGGGCGGCTACAGGACTAGGAACAACGTGGCGGCTTACCTCTCGGTCCCCGGCCGCCAGCCGGAGCCCCGGAGCCGGGCTGACCGCGTCCGGGAGCGCTACGTCAATCGGCACAGCGGCCCCCCGGGCAGCGCCCCGTCCTCCTCCAGCCCGGCGAGCGGGGGAGAGGTGGCCATGTGGGCCTGCAAGAACCCCGCTGTACTCTTCTGCCGGGATGGGCAACCGGACACCATCTCTGAGGCTGCCTTGCAGGCCAAAGTGGACACCGTTGACACCAGCCTCTGAAGGGAATGGGGGTCCAGGATGTAGGCATTTGGCCTGGGACTGTTTTCCTGAGGAAATGTGGGGAGCCCCGGCGCTTGGAGCCCTTTGCAGCCAGACTACTGGGAAATTGGAGAAACGGGACTCTGTGAGCCACAGTAGGGTTTCTTCTTAGTTGTGCAAGCTCTGGTTTGGCAACCCAGTGTGCGAGCAGTGAGAGCTCTGCAGGGAAAGGAATAAGTCCCCCTTTGCTTTTAGCAGGCCTGACGGACTGGTGACAGCCACCGAGCCCAGCCAGCCCAAGAGCTGGACTGCAAGAACGAAACAGCGTTTGCTCCAGTCCTGCACAAAGTGCCACAGTGAAGCTGAGACCGACACGCAGATACAGCCCAAACTGACTGACTGTGTGAGCTGGTTATTAAGTGCCAAAAAAGCAGTTGAAAGCTGAGCACAGGCAGCTGGAAGACACTCTGAAAACATGACACTGTGAAACCGCATCATGGTGGTTTTGTTGTTTAACCCCATTATATGTGAAAGTGCTGATAGTCAGAAAGTCATAGACTGTAGGACAGGCTAAAAAAGCAATCTGTTAAGATTTTATTTTTCTTTTTAAAGTCCCAAGCATAACAAAACAGTAATTGTTGTGAAAGGGAAGATGTACGATACTAGGAGGGAAGGAAAGGAAGATGTTTAAACATCAGTTGTCAGAATTTCAGCAGCCCTTTTTTTTTTTTTTTTTTCAGATACAGTCAGCTTAAAATACTATGAATATGAGAAATGAGAATTCTTCAGACAGACCGAGGAATGGGGTGTGGGTATAGACTATGGTATCACTGAGTTTGTGCACAAGGCCTGCGTTTTCTTTTTGAGTTCATCCAAAGTGTCTCACATCTCTAACCATGTTTAGAGGAGCCATGCGAGAGAGGTGAGTATCTGAAAGGAGAGGTAAAGCAATACCATGTGCTCTTCGTGTGCTCTTAAGCATGTGAAAATGTGTATATGCAGAGAACAGGTATTATTGTACTGATGGCAGCAGTCCATCTGGAGTATAATATTTAAAAAAGAGCTCTGTTTGCCATTGTAACAAAAAGGAAAATAACACAATGGAAGTGTCATTTCACGGCACAAATTCATATGAATTTATCAGTATGCATTTTTGTCCAAAGGCCTAAAGCCTTAAACTAGTATTTTGGATCAGAAACCAAGATTGGGCCTTCCTTTGTCTTTGCCAGAGTTCAATGTGAAAGGCAGGCAGTGTTTTCCTTTGTACAGGCTTTAGAAATACAATGTTACTGTTTTACTGGAGTTTTCAACCGTTTGTGACCCAAGTGAACATACTATCATTATTTTGTAAGTGAGACAAGAAATAAACTCTCTTGTATGCAGGAGATGCAAGTGTCTCAGCCTGGCATCATTCTCAGCCCAGCCTTGAGATGGGAACTTCTGTAAAAAATTGCCAGATGAATGGCAGTAGAGACATACTTGTGCATGAAATTTTAATGCAGCTGTTTTTCATGCCAGTGAGCGTTACTGTAATTTTCTTCTGTGATGTTCCTGAAGTCCACAAGGAAAAAAATGTGACCCTTGACCACTTATCAGCACTGATACTTTGCCCTGCAGAGCCTGGATTTTGCTAATTGAGCAATGCGTTCATACTGTTTCAGAAAGAAGCTGTACAGAAAAACCACAGCTTTTCACAGAAGCTGTTTGACAGCAAGTGAACACTAGTGACTTGTTGGAAGGGTAGGACAGGAATTTTTTGCAAAGCTGCTCTTCCACAGCAAGATATGGCTAGTGTGAATTGAAAGAGGTGGTTGTGATGCGTGAGATTAGATTTAACTCTTACTGGCAGGTAGTAACAAGGAGATTGGTGCAAATTTGTCATACAGAGCACTCTGGTGTTTGAACAGCTTTAAGAGTGTTTGCCTGAATCCCACTGATCACTGACTCTTGTATTACCTGTAGAAAACTTTAACTACCATCCAGGAGATAGCAAAGAAAACCTGTGGGGTTCTGCCTTCCCAGGAGGGACGTTTCTCCATGAGTTCTAGCAACAGTCCTTAGAGCAAGTTCCAGTGCTCTGTAACACCGGGAGGAGAGGAGCAAGGAAAACTGTCCAAGCTCAGTACTCATCAGCCTCATATACTTCTACCCTCTATACTACTGATAGTATAGACAGTATATATACCTAGACAGTAGTATAGACATCAGCTCACCAGTAGTAAAGACGGCAGGCAAAGGCAGGCTGCTTGCACTTCATGTGTTACCCGCAGAGCAGCACCCTAGCTCCAGTCCTCTGGCCATGGTACAGCTGGCATGTTTGGCCTGTATCCCTATTGCGGTGTGAAGTCCGTGTTGTAGGAGAAAGGGTGTCCCCGATTTCAGCTTGGCCCCTCTGCAGCTCTGAAGCAGAGCCTGTACTTTGACCAGAAGCGATCATTTAGAACCTTCCTGTCTTTAGTGCCACACAGATTTACAGGGTTTTTCTTGGACTTTTTGCGTGCAAGAAGACCTTTCTCTGCCAATTGGAACAAACTTGGTTAGAGTAAACGAACTAAAGGATAGTTCTTGGGTTAAGAAAATGAGGAAAGTGAAGGTGCAGCACTGCCATGCCTGACTTGTGGTGTTCCGTTCAGTGCTAATATCGATGGCTGCATTGATCTTACAGCAGAAAGCCCCTGAAAAGGGTGGTCCTGTTCCCCTTGGTGCTCAGCTCTGGCCACCTTCCCAGTCCCTTATGCCCCCACCACCCAAGCTGACTCTAACTAGCTCAGACACTAAACAACAGAAAACCACTGATTCCCTCTTCTGCATCCTGGTTTAGTTTTCTCCTGATTTAATGCCCTGGCCAGCGTACTGCAGGCCAGGTAAGCGCCTTTGTGGCAGTTGCTTCTGGCAAGGGCAGGGTTGGGGATGCCAGGAGTGAGGTTGACCAACGCAGCATCACAGGAGCTGCACCAGGAGTGAATGAACATGGCTTTCTAGGAAGGTGGCGGTGAAGCTGGGACAACACAGGTTTCAACATGTTTTTATCAAACACTGGCCAGTGCCCTGTACGTTAGTCTTGTATGTGAAGAGCTGAATGAGGGCAGCTGGCTGTGGTCTTTGAGCCATCACAAATGGGCACATTTCTGTTTAACACTAACTTGGGCTGTAGCAAGGGGAGATTCTTGACCAGATCCTTTTTGACATGGACCTGCTGTAGCTCCAATAGAGAGCCAGCCTGTGTTTTAAAGCTGTGCCTGTCCTGTACTCCTCAGAATCATAGAATCATTCAGGTTGGAAAAGAATTCTAAGATCACGGAGTCCAACTGTTAATCTACCACTGCCAAATCCACCACTAAACCATGTCCCTCAGTGCCGCATCTACAGGGTGGTGACACAACCACTTCCCTGGGAAGCCTGTTCCAGTGCTTGACAACCCTTTTGGTGAAGGAATGTTTCCTAATACCAAATCTAAACCTCCCCTGGCGCATCTTGAGGCCATTTCCCCTTGTCCTGTCACTTGTTACTTGGGAAAAGAGACCGACCCCCCCTCGCCACAACCTCCTTTCAGGTAGGTGTAGAGAGCGGTAAGATCTCCCCAATTTTATGTTTTAAAAAATACAACCAAAGGGTGAAGTGTCTTAAATAAACCACAGACATCAGAGAGAGAGAGACACACACACAAACACACCAAAGGCTGCAGGCTGCCTGCCAAAGCAGTACTTGAAATGCTGCTGTGTGCCAGCTGTGCTGGAGGGTTCCCGCCTCTCACCAACAGTGCAGAGTGGGCGAGAAGGTCTTGGCCATGCTAGCACAGAAGTCTGAGTGTCAGTCTGTCCTTGTAGCTCACAATTACTCAATATGTTCACCCAACAGAAGGAGAACTGAGGTTTACCTCACTGTTTTCTCTAGCTCTGAAAACTCTGCCCCTGGTGGCAGCTGCTTGTTCACGGATAAGAAAACATTGCAGGAGGTGGCTCCTGGCCACGCCACTATGGGCACAGCCCCACATCTCTTACATGCCCATGCTGGTGTCACCCCACTTAGAGATCCCCTTTCTTTGGGCTGAAGAACTCAGAAGGCTGCAAGACAGAGAGGTTTTAGGCACTGCAAAATTAGCTTTGGGGCTCCAACCCTCCAGCCATGGCTCTGCAATACTTCTTTCCTTCTTCCTCCCTTGAGATGAGCCTGGATGCAAGGTGAACCGCAATCTCATTTGCAGAAGGGTTCTGCAATTTTTAGCACCCCAATTAAAAAATCACACGGGTTATTCAGTGCAGGATATTCTGCATAAGAGACATAGCAGTTCATATGAAGACCAGTCCAGCCCTGGATACCAGTGACAAATTAAAATTATTCCTTCGGCTTTTTAGTCCCTCATTGACTTTCCAGCATACTTACCCTCAGTTTAAGAGTGCCATACTATCTGGCAATGATACGCATGCCACTGATATAACTAATGCATTATATCTTGGAAGGAAAACATTAAGTCTTGATGAATGACAAGCATTTTAGAAGGTACTGTTACAGCTGGAGTTGATCTAATCATCAGATTCATTCAAGTCATTATTTTCCACTCCCTTCCTAATCTCTGGATGAAGCCTTGGTTTAAAGCAAACGCTTTGTGTATAACTTACAAACTGCAAACAATTAGCAATTTGTAAGTGACAGCCTGATGGGCTGTAATAGCTGATAATAATCACCAGAACTGGGATAGCTCCTGTGAACGAGATCCCCCCCATTCCTACTTCTCTTTCAGCACTGGTGTTGGTTTGTGTATCCAGTAGATGCCAGCAGAGAACTGAGCAGCCAGCAGACTTTTCCGCTAATGATTCTCAGAAAAGCCTCCTGTTAATGAGATCAACCAGTCTGCCTTCAGGACTGCTGCATCCCAAATAAAAGCATTCAGAGTAAAAGGCTGTGACCAATGCAGTGCAAGCCTGAAGTGTACCTCTCTGAAACCTAGTTTCTAAGGTGCTTTCAGGGGTGGGTTTTTGGCTAATCCTTAAATCCAGGCTCTTCTAGCCACAACCAAAGAATAGCCTGTGTGTTTTCTACAGGGATCACCGTGCTCATCTTGCCACCCCAACTGAAGGGGCCGTGATGGTGCTTGCTGGTCAGGCAGCGGTCAAGCCCTGAAGCCTTGCTCGGGCTGTTTGTACTGGGAGAAACAGCACACCAATGTATCCACAGCCTTCTGGGGTGATCGTGAAAGATGAGATGGATCCAGCTGTGGCTCAGCAGAGGAAGTAAATTTCTCTGAGAGGAGCCATTTATTATATTTGTGCTATTTCTTGACGTGCTGGCACTGAGCTCATCCAGGTTCAGCTGGTTTCAAATAGGCAAGCGCTGGCAGAAGCCCACAAAACTGATTGGGGAGCAATTTCCAAATACTTGGGATCCTTAGTTTTATGCATTCATTATTCTTGACTTTATAAACTATTTCCAACCTTATCTCTTCCATAAGTAGTCAGCTCAGGAACTAATGAAAAAGGGAGCACCTGAAGGAATTCATAAACTGAAAAAAGTTTTTTCTAAAGCTTTGCTCTGACTAGAGGATTGCACCTTTTCTCAGAGGGTTTTTCACTGTTGTGAGTGCTGAAAAGTTAGAGTTGTTTGCAAACCTCAGTGCTTCACACATTGTCTTCTTTCCCTTCGGACATGGGGACACACTCTTCTCCTTGCCATCATAAGGAGAAGCAGAAAGTTGCAGCAGGGGTGACTTTGGGGAGGTTACTTTGGACAATGACACTCCTCAGCTCCCGGGGCAGAGATTAGGAGTGGAAGTATTCAGCGCTGCCCTTCCACATCTGGAGGAACATCCCTGATTCTCCCAGGGACCAGAGAAGTCCGGCTGAAGGCAGCAGGAATCTCTCTACCTGTCTCTGCCAGGATTGCTGATGCACAGGCTTAAACACTTAGGTTTATGCTCGGGGGCTTGACCAGAAGGTTTCACTGAAGTGTTCACACTCAGAGCAAGTAGAAATGGTCCCCAGGTTGGGGCTGCACGTGGGCGCTGGGCTGACTCCTAGGTGGGACTGACAACTAGCCCACCCCAGACCACCACGGCGGAGGGCAGCTGGGGAGATGCTGGTGCTGCAGCTGGTGAGGAAGGAACCCCCCTGGATGAGTCCTACAAATTAAAACCTCCTCAGGGTCACAGATGTGGACAAAAGCAGCAAGATAAATTTCTCTGAAATCGCTCACGCAGCAATTCCCTCACAACCACGTAAATGTAATTTGCTTACCTGTCCTAGCAACATACTCTGAACTAATGTCAGCATCAGGGAAAAAAAAATACTCTGAGTAACCAGGTCACTTATTTCTCCAGTGAAATCTAATGTGCTGCAGCAACTGTGCTTCTCCCTGACCTGTGCCT